CTGGTCTTATAAGGGACTGTCGCCGATAAGCGTCAAGTGGGTGTTGCAAGAAAGTGGCCGCAGATGGTTCAACTCCAGCTCCACTTCGGTTGCTGTCAATTAAACAGGGAGTTATAGGAGGAAGGTCAGTAATGGGGACCGGGAGGGGAGTAAAAGAAACAGGAAGGAAAAAAAGGGAGGCGCCAGCAGTAGCATGTTTTCGCTTATCCGCCTTGCTGTATGCAGTAGCTAAAGCGACCCTTGATAATCTGCGCGACGGCCGATACAGGATATAATTGAAGTTTGAAAAACTCATGGTTATACGTGGGTTGAGATACTGCCAGGGCGCCCAGACTTAGACAATAGAACGCTTAGAGTCCTCAACTAAAGCCATTAGCTCAAAAGCCTAACTGCAAGATAGCGGAGGTGGCCACGATTCGGTTTTACAGAAATAGATGCCATCCCATTTCAAGCCCCAAACGTGGAGGACCAGGAGACTGAGTGCGTCTGATCTCTAACCACTGGCCAACCTGGAGAGGCCCAAAGGCGCAACCCAGTACAGCTCAATGGGTCGACAAGATAAGTAGTCACATCAGATTAAGGTAAAGTCCAGTCGCGACGGGACATCCACGTAGCCAGTGATCCCTCGCAAGCCGCTCAAAATATGTCGCGTAGGTTGGATATGTCTGTCTAGCAGTTCGGAATGATTTTCGCTTCCTCGTAAGGCAAGGTATTAATGCAGGTCTGGTTGCGTCTTGGTAGTAACAGATAAGTTGATTTACCTAAGAAGCTGTTTTAGAACTAGCGGTTTAATAAATGTCTCTAATCCCTGTCATTACTGGCACCTACACGACCTCTGCCAGTCCTTTAAGGATGGAGTGTACAATACTACTGTACGAGTGATCCTGCAATATGGTTGCGAGAATTGGCCCGTTCGTTCGGGATTCTCAGATTATATTACAAAGATGATATTCGTCGACGGATTTTCAAATCATAAAGAATCTGCCGACCGTTGAGATACATATTCTAACTAGACAGGCATTTGTAGCACTGCGCCGCATGGTAGTCGTGCCTTCCGTGAGCGCGCCGAACTCGATAGGAAGCGAAAACAAAGTGACGAAAGAATGCGTTGAGCTCAAAGACTAAAAGTACTGATCAACATGCAATATATAGTGTTGTGTCGCCGCTGACGCCTTCACGCCACGACCGCAAGAAGAAGTCCAAAGACGAGCCAGAAAGAGACTTGTATACATAAAATCACAGTTGCTTATATAGTTTTAAAGGCAAAATGAAGGGAGGCTACTAAACTACACTTGAATCAACCAACAGAAGGAAAAACGTCAAATGCAACGGGTGAATAAGCAACCGTGTACTCAAGAGCGAATCGCATATGTCCAGAAAAATAGCATCATGGGACTCCAAGCGTAAAGCGAACATCCATTTACCGTGACGGGCACTGACCAATCAGGATAACGAAATGTAGCGTTTAAACAAATGTCACGAAACAAACGAGAATAAGAAATGTAGATCCAAAAATTAAAAACAAGTGCAATAATTGGGTGAGAACTAAATATTACTTTGATATGACCAAGTAGAAAAAGTGATGCGGAGAAAAACCAATTTTATATATATATATATATATATAATACAACGAAAAGGAGGAAAGTAAGTGAAACTGTATTCAAGAAGATAGGGTCTCATAACATGTCAGTCATTGGATACGAATTATTGCTATCTCTGAGAGTTCCCAGCTATTTCTGCCCAGGACCCTTGAGCGCAACCATATCCAATTTTGAGGTTGGTGCTTTTAACGTTTGAATCCAATATTCACAATAGCAGTGTACACCAGACAGGAGAGCACATAGACAAGGTGGAACAGCAGATGCTGTGGGCTAAGGTTGCAAAGTTGGTTCTGGTGAGACACACTTTCGGTATACAGAAAAGGGAATATGCGAGTGGATGTGTATTGGGTTGCAAAGTAAATTTAATTGTCAGTATCAACATAACTGCGATGCGATGCGAAAAGATAGTGGTGCGAAATGGATTCGATCTAAAGCGTTGAAGTGTCCCTATTCAGAACGATGATACAAAATGTCTTCGACTCAGACCATTGTTTTCCTCAAGACAGACTCCGCCTTAGGTGTTTTACATCAGTGATAAGAGATGGCAGCGTAATAAATGAAACTTCTAGTTTCCCCGAAGGTGCGAATTTCTGCATAGCCGTTGGGAAATTCACAACCGACTGCAGACGATCAGAGTATTCCCTGTTGTTTGAAGTGACGCGGAAAGCGCAGCAGATGCAGTTAATAGCAAATTCATGACAATATACTCGTCGTGTTTCAAGTTTGTGCATGAGCACAGCCGAGGTAAGATTAGTCGACTACAAGCCGAGCACCGAAATGTGTTGGGCCCGCAAGAGTGAGAATATCTAGCAAAAGCATAGGAGAGGGGAAGGTAAAACAAACCACAGCGGACATCAAGAGAGAGAATAGTCACAATGCGGAAAAGATGACAGTTCGCCGCTGCACCATGTCAAAGTGAGTAGCTAACTACTTTTGCGACCGACTCCAATGGCCCCAATCAAGATGGTGGTATAAATTTGCCTAATCAAATCTGTCAGTCAGTTTATCCATGCCTTTCGACTATAGACATACAAATGAGAACGATGACATTTTGTTAAAGGCCATTAAGTTGCTCATCAAAGAACCAACGAGCCAAGCGATTACAGATATGATGGTGCCGTCGATGCCGCATCAAGATAATGTAATCCTGTTCAAATTAATTTTAGCTGATTAGTGTATTAATAGCCTGTCAGGATCAAGGGCATTTTTGTATGGTCACAACCAACTTTTAGCGCTTCTACATTATATTATGCCCTGTTGTTCGAGCGCGTCTCCATGACCCACATTTAACAGGGACGTGATCACATGTTAGCATACTGAGATCAGAAGACAGAATACGGCATTTTAAAAAAGTTACCAGTTTTATGAATTATGGTCTGCAAGAATTCCAGATCAGTTTAGTAACCATTAATCAACGGATAGTCTGCGAATAGAAATATAGTACAAATGTCTTCGTTGACAGCGCGGCAACATGATGGAATTAGGTGTAACATTACACATGCCTTGCCTCGCTGTCGACGTCTGGACATAAGTGAGTGAATGAATACGTGCGTGCGTGCGAAGTAAGGTTTAACGGTTACTGCTGAATTATGTGCTGAGCACCGATGCGCACGGCGTAAGTGCTGACAGCGTGATAACTCGTCAGATGTCGTTATCTCCAGTACTGCTGTACGGAGACGCTTGCTCGTGGTTGGGGTGATGGGGCGTAGTCCGTATGGTGGTGATATGTCAAAGAAGTAGATCCATCAATGAATTGACAACAATCCAACCAACTACTCGATATGTTTGACGCGCATAATTTTCTTTTATTTACATAAAGCAGTAACTGTTAGTACCAATTCAGCAAGAGTGTAATGCCTCGAAATGTACGCAATCGTTATTCGCGCAACTTATGTCGGTAATATTTGGGATTTGTCAGAACCTTTGGGTACATCCAGAAAGATATACTTACCAGTGAGTGCAATATGTATGACAGAATCTGTACACTCAAAAAGTCTCACAAAGCTAAGTCACATATCTCGTGGGCTAATTACTTTGTGAGCACTTACGTGTGGGGTGCGTGGATGGAGCTTTGGCTAGCAAACCGCAAATCTTCAACGGTTTATCCAAAGGTGCAACACTCGTGTGAGCATTCGCCATCAAAGCGAAAAACAAATATGGAAAGAGATCCGTTCCGAGCGCAAAACCTACTTCCGCTTGTTTGGAATGAAGTTATCCATCTTCGGATAAGCAATAAAGACGTTTAGTGAATTACGCCGTTGGTTGGATACACTTGTTGAAATGGCAAAGAACCGACCTCCATAGTATATGTGTTGTGAGTTCGTTTATCCCCATCTCATTTCGTTTCTCCTCCAACTGAGATCCAGTCGTCAACGCTTCAAATAAAACAATACACCACACTGCTTTTGTTTGGTTTTTTACTGCTACCTAACTGAACTACATTGTGGCACAATAACCGCTGTCTCACGATGATGACGATGATGATGAAGAAGAAAGTTACCACTGAAGTCGAAGTATAATAGTTCTTGTTTTAGAACACTTATGCAACCGGCCATGTTGCACAATCCAAAGAGGCACTTGCCACCGCGTAGGTTGGCAATCAAAAAAAGCATACCATACAAATGAAGTCAAAACGCGGAGAAATTGTTACGCGCGTGATCACTAATAGTCGCGTGATATGGTAGTGTAGATGTGGTTCACGGCCCTGTTGTGGAATTCTCTAAAAATGCGCCATCATGAAAAAGTGAGGAAAGCACGAGGACACCACTGCTACCCAGAACACACAGGGAGTTAAGTGCTGAACATCGCAGTTAGTATGCAGTTAACCCCCGAGGAATCCGTGAAAAGGTTATGCGAGAAAAATAGTAACTAACAAGTTAAGTAATTCAAGCTATGCACAAAACGAAACAAAAGTTGTAATCCAAGGAAAGAGCAGCATGTATGAATGGGGATAAACCAATGTTTGAAAGGAAATCTAAAACCCACTGTAAATAAAAAGCAACTCAATTGGTCGAGTTACATGTGATGAATAAGGTTCCAACATGCAGCATGACGGTCTATGGATGCAGTCTTAACGAATTCGATGAATTTAGGGTGCTTGGAGACGAAGTTAATGCACATATATTCGAACGTATGGCACATATTCAACCAGTGACGTTTGGTGACATTGGGACAAAACGCATATTATCAAAAAGACGAAATAGGTCCGAAATTAGTAACCAAGTTCAGTTAGAACAACAGTGGTGTGACCAACCGAGTCAACATCAATCCGCGTACGAAGGACAGCTAATCGCATCAGCAAACACTGAGGTATATCGCTTAAAATGGTAATCAGATGATGTAAGGAAATGTGTAAACCGTGAAGTGGATGTGTTTTGTATCGAAAAGATAAGCAAATACCTGAGTGGAGGATAACTTTCCCTCTCCGCCAAAATCAAACGAAGGTTGCCTTGACAAAACAGCACTGCGCAAAGAATTTCCAGAACGAGAGAGGCCGCATGATGGATTGGGCGAGAGTTTCGAGGACGAGAGAGAAGTGCCGAAAATTTGTTTTGTGTTGATAGCAGTGACAGTAGATGCGCCTAGTGAAGCTGTTCGCAACGTTTCGTCCCCGGTTCCTGGCCAAGTAGTGTTAGTACATACGGAGCAGCCCAGATCAGCCAAAGAATGAGCACGTTCTAGGGAACTAGATTGGCATACGTCGTCACCCATGTGCTATTCCGCATTCAAACGTACCAGCGGTTCAGAAATGAAATAATGCTGTATATAGCGTAAATATATGATGTTGGTGTCTTCATCGGCGTTCACACAACTGCGGAAAGAAGATAAAAGAGAGTGGGGTTGCATGTGCAGCTGCAATGAGAAAGCTTGCAAGACAATGGATTTCGTACTGAAAACAGTAGCACTGTCATTCACACAGCGAATAAGTGCTACCCATGCGTCGCAGACAACAGGGTGCAAATGTTGGATGAGTGGTGGCAGGTTGCTACTGAACGCAGAGAGCTTATCACAGGCTGCCAGTCGGCCTGCCCTAATATGACGACGCTTCATGCTGGTAACGCAAAAGTCACCAATTCGAGTCTGCGTACGTGCGCGCAGCCTCGAATTATCCCGAGTCTGTGCGAGGTTGAAAATAGTCGCATGGCAGCGAAGCGTTAATACGAAATGTCGCTACATTATCTATGCCTTTTTTACCATGGTAGTCGAGGATCAGCGGTAGAATGTGTCGTTTCTCAATTGCCTGCATTCTTAACGCAAGCACTTTCATGCGTAGTGCATCCTTAGCGCAAAAAATATAGGCGGATAATCACAAATTCGCATCCGCGACGCCCTGGGTGGTCAACCGCTATCAGTCAATAGCAGGGACAGGTGAGACACTGGTGGCCAGAGTGAACAATGTTGACTTAGTATCTACCAAATCCCCTGCCCTCAAACGGACATCAGGTTTGCTCGTTCAAGCTACCTTTGTGAGACTGTTTTGACTTCATGCACAACGGCTTCGATCAAGCTAGCGGGTATGATCCCGTGTTTCGGACACGTTCACTGCCACGTCTGCGTTCGTGCAGAATTGTGCTGACTTCGCCTTACCTTCACATACCAGCCTTTGGGGTGTGGAGCCAGTTCGTGAGCAAGCCCGTGCTTGCTTTTGGCTGAGTAGTCTGCACGCCTGGCTTGCATTCATAACGTCCCTGGTACGAATGCGCGTAGGGGCTGGCGTCCTCATGATATACTCAGCCCACACCGGACTGGTGGTGGTCGAGCGGCAACGAAGTACCGTTACGGGGTACAGCTGAAGGTTTATTTATGTATCGTTTGCTACTGGCTGATAGTGGTTGACCACCCAGGGCATCATGGATACAATTTTCGTGACTGTTGCTTTTGCTGCACTACGGATAAAGGTCATTGCGTTAAGGATGCAATCAATTGTGAAATGGTACATATGCCCTGGTATACGTAATCCAATGCCATTTGCTGCGCTAGCGGAAAAATACGTAACCCAAAATAGTGAACAGGTTGCAAAAGTCACAGCAAGACGTGTAAAAGTAGGAGCGATGGACTCAAGTCTATCATGTTCATAAAAAGAAGATTTCGTATCGACTTGGCAGTGGTAAGGGAACAAGAGGAGAAGCCATTTGGCCAAATGAGTTAACTTGATACGCACATCAAAGTTTGGTAAACTGCCGGTGCTAAAACTTGTTGTGCATAGATCAATCCACCCGCATACTGTTGAGAGCGAGGTGCCCCGTTCGCTAGATCAGAGGAGTAGAGTCATCATCATCATCATCAACAGCAGTACATCAGCCATTTGAACTGATGCTTCGCTGCCATACAACCATGAGGACCTATGAAATAAAGAATAAGAGGGAGAGAAGGGGGACTTACCTGAAAACCTTAATGCCCTAAGCAAACATTCAGGGTCAAGGCGCCTACACCTTGTGTTAACAACATACCGTCACAAACAGCTGGCTATCGTGCAAAGAGGAGTAGAGTAAAAATATGATAAAAAGGGCCGCATAATCCGGCCCAGAAAATAAAATATCGGTCGAACACAGGCATCAGCAGTACGCCGATACGCAGTAACGACACTTCGCTGCCGCGCAACCAACACCAGTCGTGCTTGGGCTCAGGTTGCTGCGAGGGTCGCCCGGTCTCCAACGCAGGCCAGAACCCACGCCCTCGGATTATAAGGCAGGTTTGTGATCACCAAAGCCAGGGGTCGGCCGGTCGAACAAGAGGAAGAAAGTATAGCCGACGATGTACTTTGGAAGGCAAAATGAGAGATTTTCAATTTCAAACAGAGAGAGTCGGTTGGCGCCGCGCCAGAGAATTGAAAGGAAATGTGTGCTGCGCTAAAGTATATTTGGCGCAGTGGCACGTGTGCAAACAGGTGAGAAATTCAAGGGTGCAACAAAGCCCCCTGAGACTTATGACCACTGGATCCAGTTAGTTGCGCCGCTTAACATCAGTCAGAGGACGCTAAATCACACAGCGATGTCTACAGAACGTGAAGCACGTACTGTTCACTAACAGCAGATGGTCAGTACATATCGGTATAAGAAAAGTTTGCCATTATCACTGTGAGAGAAAGTAGGTTTTGAGCAAATCGTTTAGTTTAATTTCGGAGTGACTTAGGTGACATATTTGGGTGGCAACATCCCAACAGAAGAGCAATAATTGAGCTGGCAGGATTACACAAGAGCAAGGAGACTAGATCTTAGCGTCGCGCGATGGTTCGTGTACCTCAGCGATCCACTGAACTATGCTAGGTGCTGCTTTTCGCACTTTCAGAGCCACTCATTGTCCGGGAGAAAGTAAGAATTGCCTTGGAAATTCCCTATTTTAGCGATTAATCGATTATTAACGATTATCGCATCGATTTCGAACGTTCCTGAATGTGCTTCTTCTGCACGTGATTAAAAGCCACCTGACACCTCGGGAAAAGATATGGGGAACCACTAACCTTGGCAGCTGACCTTCCAATTCTAGAAGTCGAAGGTCAGTAGAGACCTATAAATACAGCCAAGGTCCGCAGTCGTTGTACAGTGTTCGTTGGCGGCGATAAATACGTTATTTTGTCAAGGTCATTGGCGTTTTGCTTTTTTCCTTCGTTGGGGCTAGGAGTTTTGTGGAGCAGTAAATTTTTATTTTGGGAATTGCGTCTAGTGAGAAGATTATAACAAATGGCGACGGAGGAAAGTGGAAATGTGATGAATTTTTCTGCTGAACAATTTCAAAAGCTGCTTTTTCAACAGCAAGCTCAAATGGAGACGCAAATGCTTGAGTTTGCAGACAACTGGAGCAGCGACGCGGGACACGCAGGCGAGTTCTGTTGATCTTCTCACGAACGCCATCACTGAATTCAATTATGATGCGGATTCTGGATGCACCTTTGAAGCGTGGCTCAAACGCTGGGAAGACATGTTCCAGACGGACTTCATCCGTCAGGACGACTCCTGGAAGGTGCGAATGCTACTCCGCAAGCTCGGAATAAGTGAACATTCAAGGTTCATAGACCACATTTTGCCCAAACAGCCGAAGGATCTGACATTTGACGAAGCAGTGTCGCAGTTGAAGGAAATTTTTAGTGAGTCGGTTTCCTTGTTTAGTATTCGCTATCAATGCCTGAAAATAGCCAAACAGGAATCTGACGATTTTGGGGCCTTAGCAGACATGATTAACCGTGAGTGTGAACGATTCAAACTACGTTCTTTAACGGACGATCAGTTTAAGTGTCTCATTTTCGTCAGTGCTCTACAATCGCCCACTGATGCTGAGATCCGAACGCGGCTTTTATCTAAGCTGGAGCAGGATCCTGATCTGACACTGAAGGCCCTCGTAAGCGAATGCAAACGACTGCTCACTCTAAAACACGACACTGCCATGGTCGAACGCAATGGTCTCGCACCACCAGATACCGTGCAACTTGTGAAAAAGGCCAGGACCGCCAACGCAAGCAAACCCTTCAAGAGGCCTACGAAAAAACCGCCCACAGCATGCTGGTCATGCGGCGAATGGCATTTCGCTCGCTTTTGTCCATTCAAACAACATATTTGTCAAACGTGTCATAAGCGTGGGCATAAAGAGGAATGCTGCAGTCAAGTCCGGTCGAAGAAAATGAAGCCTTATCGAAAAGGTAATTCTAGAAGGGGCGGCGCTGAGTCTCTCTCCATAGTTGCCGCATTCCAAAGCGAATGTAAACCGAGACGACGATTCATCACTGTGTTAATCAATGGGATCCCAACAAAACTGCAATTTGACACGGCCTCAGACATCACAATCATTTCCAGGCGCACATGGAATCACATAAAGAGGCCGAAGATGGTCGAGTCACAGAAAGTTGCACACAATGCATCCGGCGGTGTGTTACGCTTAGTGGGCGAACTCAATTGCAAGATTGCTTTCCAGGGTGTGGAGAAGTCAGGAACATGCTACATTTCGGACCGGCCAAATTTGAATCTTCTTGGCCTCGACTGGATTGAAAAGTTGAACCTCCTCGATGTTCCCTTGAATCAGATCTGCAACCGAGTTCGAGCCAGTCCAGACCCATCTGCAAAGTCTGTCGAAGACATGACACGTACCCTGAAGCGAAAATTTGCTTCTGTCTTTCAGGATGGCTTGGGCCACTGTACGAAATTCAAGGCAACACTGAACTTGCGACCAGGTGCTAAACCAGTGTTCAAGGCTAAAAGACCGGTACCATATGCAGCCATGTCAACCGTTGAGCAAGAGCTCGATCGACTGGAACGTGCCGGAGTCATCACAGCAGTCAACTACTCATCATGGGCCGCACCTATTGTCGCAGTGAAGAAAGCAAATGGCAAGGTACGCGTCTGCGCTGACTTCTCAACTGGCCTCAACGCCGCGCTGGACGACCACCAGTACCCATTACCTGTACCGGAGGATATCTTTGTAAAGCTGAACGGTGGTAAGTACTTTGCTAAGCTTGATCTATCCGACGCTTATCTGCAAGTGGATGTTGACGAAGTCTCGAGGGAGTTGTTGACGATCAACACTCGTCGTGGGCTATTCCAATACAACCACTTGCCATTTGGTGTGAAAACGGCGCCAGCCATCTTCCAACAGTTGATGGACACCATGCTAACGGGTGTTTCTGGAACCGCTGCATATCTGGACGATATCATAGTGATGGGTCGAACATCGGAAGAACTCTTCAACCGCTTGGATGAAGTGCTTGGTTGCATACAGTCGTACGGCTTCCGGATCCGTGAGGATAAATGCACATTTTTCACACCGCTCATCAAATACCTCGGGTTTATCCTCGAAAAGGATGGACGTCAACCAGACCCGGAAAACA